GTGAAATTGCTGATAAAAACTGCTGCTGTCTCTTTCTCTCTCTCTCTCTCGACTCTGGGGGGGAACGGAGACATCCCAGATTTCTCCACCCTTCCATCTGCAGGGGGTTCCAGTCCCTCCACCCTTGGGCCCACCTCAGTCAGGCCATAGGCCTTCCCCTCCCCACCCAGCCACGGCCGGGCAGGGGAGAGGCTGCACTGCGGCTGAGCGGAACCAAAGAGAGCCAGTTCTCCTGGGAATTCTGCTTTTAACCCCTCTGTGTTCTCAGAGGCGTGTCCACCTTCAATTGGTCAATATCCAAATTGGCCTCTTCCTTCCGAGAAAATTCTTTCTCCGTGTCAAACCATGACACCAATACCTAATTATATTTAACTGTGAGAATTCAGATGGAGATGCAGCATTGTACCATGAATTCTACCCTGGAGTTTCTGCCAGGAGTATTGTTAGGTTTCAGTTCTTTTTTGAAAAACAAATATTTTAAAAATAGATTACTATTTACATATTCTCATAGTGATTAAAAAAAGGCTCCTGAAAGTTTAAATAAAAACATTAAGATTGTCCTATTGTTCTGTCCATTCATGCAATAATATTTTCCATTTCAGAGGGAATGGCTGACACATTTCACAGAAGAGCAGCTAAATTGTCTACATGCAAAATGCTATCAAAAGAGAGGGTGGGGAGGGAGAATAAATATTTTTCTCCTCATTAACTTTTTCCAGGTACAATAGAACTAGGAGTTTATGTGTACTAACAGCACTAAAAATATTTTTAAGGCACAAATGCAATTGTTGTTTTATGGCCCTGATTCAGCAAGGTAGACAGACTTCTGGTTAACTTGAAGCATGTTGAGCAATACCACTGACTATAATGTGATTACTCATGTGCTCAAAGTTAGGAGTTCTGCTGTACTGTACAATTTGCAGGTAGTTAATGGAAGAAAGAGATAACTCTAACCCACATCAGCAATTCTGGGACTGGTCAGCAATCTTACAGAGTCAAAGAAACTTATCTCTACACATAAAGGAGAAAGCAGTGAGAAGAAAATAAATCTTGATGAAATATGAAAGACCTGACATCAGCCAAAAAATATACTGCTCTTTAAGAAAACAAAAATCAAGGCAAGTGAGGCTACCAAAATTCCCTATCAGGTTACATGAGTATCAGATTATGAGGAGCTATAAAACAGTAACAGGAAGCTTATTTTTCCCTATCATTGTCCAGGTATGATTTCCTTTAGCTGAAATATAAAAAGTAAATTATTTAAAATAGCAAAACAAAGGAAGTATCCCAAGAGAGGGAATAAGTCCAGTAGACCCTCACCACCATCAGTGTAAAAGAGAAAATCAAACAGGATACCATTTTTTCATAAAACTGAGTTATTTCTTTCCATGAGCCTTTAGACACTAAAATGAAAATACTTTTCCTGGAATCACTTTTTCCACAGAAAGCAGAATGAGGCTAGAAATAGAGGGGTTAAAATTTTTTGTGACATTAAAATAGCAATAAAGACATTGTTTCTTCAGTTAAATTCAGCCCATGATGAAGACATCAGCTGCTCCCTGCAGCAGGAGATCCTACGTTAGGCTTGTCCCAAGGTATTTGATGATGGCAGAAGGAAGAAAAAGGCTTTGAGTAAGGTTCCACATGCCCAAATCCCAGAAATGCATGTCCCTCTTCCATCCACAAAAGGGGAAAGCCCCAAGTCCCCATGCTGACAAACCAGAGCTTCTACTACGGACATCTTCAGACTTCTCACAGGTTGAAGTTGAATGTCCAAGTCAAGGCAGAATAAGAATAGGGGTTGACCTGCTGCTATTTCAGATTGAAAACAACAAGAAGATAGAGTGTCACCCCACAAATGACACAGAATTTCAATCTGTTCTCACTCTGTGGTTACACACAGTGAGGTCTACGTAATGACTTCTTACATTCTTCCCCACGTCCAAATGCATCACTACAGTCGAAGGCAGAGTAAGTTCCTTCATCCCAGGGCAATCAACTGCCCACCTGGGGCTGTGTCATATTTTCTACAATCACTGGTAGTATATTGTTGGGCCAAGAATATATTACTTATTTTGGCAGATTTCTTTTACTCCAAATCAGTTCTGTAAAGCCATAATGATTCAATTGCAGCAGAGCAGCCAAATGTGTACAAGTGCATACAGAAAGCAAAACTAACTCACTCTCACATTATAGAAATTGCTTTACTGATTCCATGAAATATGTTGTCCCTCTTTATTTCTCTGTCTGCTTTTATCACCTATTTCCAATCAGCAGCTATTAACCTACAATTGAAATGGAACAAGTGGATTTGGTGGAGATGAAAATAAAGTAACACAGCATTAATATTCATCCAAAAAATGAGTGGTGTAAATCACTAAGTTCCACAGTAAACAGGGTTACTCTCCTGCAGAACTCTTATGTGAATAGGGAAATATTCAAGGCATACCTTATTAAGTATTAGTACACTCTTTTCCAAATAGGATTGTTTTCAACTTCATTCTTGTCATGAAGAAATAGCACACATGTTTTAGAGAAAACATTTTTATAGAAGATACCCCAAATTAAAGCTAAATCAAAGGTTTCCTCTGTTGCAGGACCTCTTTGAAATTCACATCAGTGGCTTGGATCACCCTAACGAATAGAAATGCTCCATCTCTACTTTTGCACCAAACCCAGAGCTGTTTGTTTCTGCCTTGGCCTCCATCTTGGGCCACCTCTGTATGAAAACAGTTTTCACAGCACAAACTCACAACTGATGACTATTTGCATTGTCTGTCTTTATAAAATATCAGTACCATCACCTCTCCTTTGGATTTGCACACGGGAGCAAAGGGAGAAAAGCTTTTGTGACCTACAAAAGCCTTACTTGAAGTAATTCTCTCCGACTTGAGGCCTTTTGGAATGGAAGGGATATATTGTTTTGACTTGATTAAAGCTGAAAAGTTGATTTGACATCCTGTTGTCAAGGAAACCAATTCACACACAAAAGAAAACAGTTGTGATGGTATCATTCAGACTATTCAAGTGACCTCAGGAAAAAAAAAAAGGCTTCAGTTCCAAAGATTTGTATTCAACTCACTTCACCACTGTAGAAATAAAGATCATTGCTCTTTATGCTTATTGGAAAGCAGTTTTCAATCTGGGGAAAGAAAAATGCCACATCTTCCATCTGCCAGATCCAATACTTTGCTGGGAATATATATAAACACACCTACCATTTATTTGCCTGTTTCAAAGAACCACATAAAGAATCGCACTGAAGACTCACAGGGAAGGACAAAGAATTTCTTTAATTGACAGGACTGTGATAAATACCCCCTGACACATACCCCACCTATTGAACAGCAGCTTGCAAGCCAGGTTTTAAAACGTCCTACTTCAAATAGACCTTACCTCAAACACAGCATTGTTTGCATCCAGTTTTGTTTTCCTGGGAGACATGAAAAAAACCAGCATTTTTTTTTCTCTGCCAGTCTCCTAGATCCCTCAAAAATTGAGTTTTCCATGCATACAGTAAATGAAGTTTACCTATGCTCATTCTTCCTACCTAGAGAATCCCAAAGAGTCCTGGCTGACCACGACCACCATCATCCAGCTTTGCAGTCCATGCAAGTCTCACAGAGGTTTCATTCCCTAACAGTCGGTAAGTAAATTGGAGAAATGAAACTTTCTATTTGCTCACACACTGTAATTATACATCTCTTTCTCCAATGACATAGCCTTGCCTGGCTGAGTGAGCAGACAGATGACTAAATAGCAACTTTTCTCAAATTCAGCTTAGTAAAAAAAAAAAGAAGCATGATATTAATAAGGAGGGAAGTATACTGAGGAATAAATGCCAGTGTTCTTACATTATTGTCATTTAAGGGCATCACACCAAAGGTCACAGAGATAATAAGCCTCGGTCACTTTCCATTTGTTACACAACATACAAATTTCCACAGCATTAATGAATATCTTTTCCCATTCCTGGCCAGCCAAGACACTGCATTATTTCCTCCTAGACAAGCACCTAACCCTTGGAATTCATTATTTCCATCTCTTCTTGCAGCACTTTGTCCTTAGGGTAGAGCATAAATGCCACAAGGTGGCTGTGACTGAAGCATCAAATGCTGAGCCTGACTTCTTTCTGCTAGAGCATTTTTGCTGAAAGAGCATACAGAGCTCATTGGTATCTTTTGTAATCAAATATGTATACACACAGACATCCATATGTGCTCTCTTAAAAGTATCTCAGACTCCTTGAAGACCATGGGAAAAAAATCGACATTTTCATAATTTGTGGATACTGCCTGATACTTATATATTGAAATAATAGTTATGCTACAAACACCAATTGACCACAACAATATAAGATACCATGGGACAACTGCATTTATACTTAAAATGATGACAGCTGGAAAGTAAGTAGTTCTTGGGATAGAAATGACATTCATGGAAATGTGAAAGTGTTTCTATGAAGGAATCTATTGCTTAAACCCTCTTTACTTCTAACAGACTGCTAAGATAGCACAGCTGAGCTATAGAGAGAGGAATGCCTCATTTCTAATCTGTACTTCATTGTATTTTAAGTTTAGGAATTTCACATAAATATAGATAGCAACAGCTGAAACAAATTCATACTATTTCATAAACTGAGGGCTTTCTGAGATGACAAATTATTATTTCCACTGTTCACTGAAAGTATAAAGAATATGCAGATGAAAAGAGAATATTGAAGGCTGGTAGCTTTGTACTGTTCTGAAAAGGGCTAAACTTTATGTGCATAATTAAAATAAGAGAGTGAAAAATGAAGTCCAATCCCAAATGTCGAACTAAAATAAGCCAAGGATATTTGCTGCATGCAATCAAACCACCTCCACCTCTGTCCTCCAAACTGAAACACTGCACTCTGCATTTTGACAAACACCTTATCTTGATATTTTCTCCTCTCCCACCCAACAATCCCAAAGAGCAAGAGCCAGAAAGAAGAAAGCTGACAGCACTACTAAGCTTACCCACAAATAGGTCCATACTCCTTTATGAGTTTTGTGTGGTTTTCCCAAAAACCCTGGAAGAAAGAAAAAAACCACAGTATTTTAGAGAAGTGCTTAGCAGAAGCTCTATTACACATTATTTCTACCACTGACACAAAGCTTTGAACCTCAGCCAGGAGAACCATGGTATTAACCCATAACCTCACTTTTTGAATATTGTCCCTATGTGATGAACATAGAGTCTAGAAAGGATGGCTGGAAAAACAAATCCCAACCCCAAAAAAGATCTGGCAAGACATGAAACATGTTTACATCAACATTTTATTCTCCAAAATCTTTTACCATTTCATGATTTATTATTTTTAAACTAACTTCATTATTTTGGTCCTAAATCAATTTTTTTCAGATATGCAAATGGATGGAAAACTAATACAGGAATTAATAAGAGGATATTACTTACTACACAAAAGGGAAGAACAGGGAATATGGCAAGGTCATCTTGTTTTGGTTTTAGTCATATTATTAAAAAAATCCCCAAACCTGCCAAGTCAGAGCTTAGCACAAGGCAGTCAGCTGGTACATTCCACAGAATAGTAAGCAGATTTATTTTTTAAATTCTTACCATTTTTACTGTCATTCATTTTCATAATTGAAGAAAATTCATATCCATTTATCTAAATAAACCTGCCACTATACTCAATTGTTAGTGTCTTAAATGAATTCAAATTGATGAATCTAAAGAAAGTGCGCAAAATATATCCCTGAAAATGAACGATAAAAAAATCTGTTTTAATGAAACCACAATATTTGAGGACCATGCTCCATTGTGTTTGCAACTTGTCTATGGAAAAAGTAACCCATTTGATTGCATTAATCTGCATTTATATTAATGGAAGACGGACTATCATGATCTATTTTTGTTCTTAAGAGAAAATTCACAAAAAAAGTAGAATATTTATGTCTCATATTGAATCTTTGTTTTTATGACATAGCACAGAATATTAGCTAGAACAGTACAGCTACTGTAAATATATCTACTGCTGACATAAATAAACCACCCCATGTAATGTGTATATGCTTTAAGAGCATTTTGCCACACTAAGCAAGGGAAAATGTGGTAATTATCTGACTTAACACCCTTGGGTGTTAACTTATTGTCCAAATTAGCAAAGCACTTGCCACCACCTACAATCCTCCTCTCATAGAGTCCCTCAATTTTTTTTTTTAATTTTGTTTTTTTTAATCCTGGACTTATAATACCTTTATTCTGCAGGACACTATGTCCCCAGTTTAAGGCAAGAACTATAGGTTCTCCTTTAGCTACGAAAACCATGGGATGACGTGTAAGAAAACATGCTAAAGATAAAATTATGAAAGAGGTGGATTAGATGACAGCCTGAGGAGAATGTAGAAAAGAATATATATTCTCCCCCGAAAAATTCTTCACTACTAAGGTAAGCAGAAAAGCCTCAAGAGTTAGCACACAGAAACTAAGGCCTTGTAATACCACAAATATAGACAGCTAGCTCAAAAAGGCTTTTGCCTGGAGACACTGTGGGAGGGGAAAAGGCACATATACATTCACACCAACTTGCATTTTAGCTATAGAGACACTCCAGCCATTGCAGGACTCCAGCCTGCAATTGCTAAAATTTCAGCATCATAAACGCTGTCTACTGATGCAGGGGGGAGTGCTGGGGTCCGATTCTCCAGGTGGCCATTTCAGGCTGGTCCAGCAGGCTCAGCCCACTCAGCTCTGACCACTGTGCCCAGGAGAGCAGCCCCAGGCAGTGCCAGCAAACACCGCTGACATTTCCAGCCACGCAGGGCACGGCTCGAGGTCACCGGGCACAGCCCCACCAGGGTGCAAAGCACTGCTGTACCCCAGCTGCAATGCTTGGCCAGGGCAGAGGAACTTCCAGTCCTGTGGGATGATGCCAAATCAGGTCTGCTCTCCAGTCCACTTCCCACCCAGCCTGAGCCTTCAGCGAGGACACCCACACTGCAGCCTGAGCCCTGCCTGCTCAGTGTGCTTTGGATTGCAAGCACGTACACAGGTATTGCACTTGCTGTACCCACCAGCTGCATTCCAGTGAGCCAGCAGGATATTACATTTTCAAGAAGCCTAGGCTTTAAATGATTCAGTGAAAAAGCTTTCCAGCAAGCCAGCTCCTTGGAAGAACTGCTTCTGGCTCACTACATTAGAGGGGTCAGGCAGAGCACGTTTCAAATCAGATCTGTTAACCAGTAACTGGTTTTCTACCTCCAGGACTTCTAAATAATTGCACTGGCTTAAAATTAACCACACTTAATTTTTTTTCCCTAAAGCGAGAAGTACTAGCCTGCAGGCTGGGGGAAGAGAAAGAGTTGGAAAGCACCTGGGAAAGACTGTGAGAAAGCATCTCAGGAGTAAAAGAAGCCATAATTCTCTACACTCCAGGACACTTTCTCATGCCGTGCAGTACTGCACCCACATACTTGCCACTGCCAGCCTGGGACCCACTGCTGTCCTGGCCTCCTTCAGAGCCTGTTAAGCACCTGGCAGCAGGTCTCATGGCAGCAGGCATGGGAAAGAGAAGCCAACAGCACACACAGGACCCCATGCAGCTGTGGTGGCTGGACTGTAGGCAAGGCAGAGGGCATGTGCATGTATCCCTTACATACCAAGGTACACCTTTCAGCTGGAGGAAGCTAGAGCCATAAAAAGACCCCTGTGTTTACTCTTGATGGCCATGAGAAAATCAATGAACTTGCATGGTCACAGAGTGAAGGGATATGCCACATCCACACAGCTCTGCCAGACTTGCAGCATCATCCCCAAACATGGCCTCCAGTAGACAGGGACCCTGAAAATATCCTCCTCCTCCCCTGAGTCATGTTTGAAGCACAGAAAGCCTTATAAGTGCTTTTGGTAACTTATTTACACTGGCTGAATTTGGTTTGCTTCAACCAATTATTGCAGACTTGTCCATGTTTTATAATTGCACTTGTACTTAGTATCTATGACATAACCAAGCACCTACTCACAATCAGCTGCTGTTTTACAAGAAAATGGAAGTAGAGGCCACCTATCTTCACTTTCTTTCCTTGTATTTATCCACTGGGTGATCTGCAATCAAACTCAGAAATGGCACCAGCTGACTAGTACCCAGTGGCTTTAATCTCCCTAAAGAAGAAATTATAAAAGAGCAACAGGGTGATTAGGAAAATAATAATTAGGAAAAAATGGAAACATATGTATTCTGGGGTTTTTTTTGAAAAACAGAAGGAAACAGAAAAGCAAAAACACCCAGTATTATGGTATGACACTACGTGTATCAGGAAGAACTGTTATGGATTAAACACTCAGTAGTAAAAATTAAAAGCATAGTTAGCAATGATGTTCCAAGTTTAAAAAAAAAATATCACTTAGGGTTTTCTTTGTTTGGAAGCTGCAGAAAATGAGCTATCGTCATCAAACCAGAAAATGGTTGGGCCAGGGTGACTTGTCACATGTGGCCCGTACAGTGAGGTACCAGCCTGAGGACAGTCCATCATCGAGCAGGATAATGCAGGAGTAGGAAAAGCTTCTTCCCTTGAAGAAAGCATATTTTACAGCATCTGGTATACCATGGAAACAGCAGCTCAAGTGGGCTGACTGCTGCACACCGAGAAGGTTCTTTGTTTACATATCTGGCAGTTGCCTCCCTGAAGGGAATTTGCATTCTTCCCCTTCCTCTGAGTGTGTATCATCATCTGGATCTGTGGATAGAACCACTCACAAGGCCAAACCCTGCTCTCAGGGATACAGGCACAGACCCCATGGAAGAGAACAAGATTTGGGTCTGCATCAAACAAAGCAAAGTCTGGTCACTGCCAACCATTTTTCTTGAGATACTGAATGTAGAAGATTCAGTTTGAGCTGCATACATGAAAGGGCTGAAATTGCTCAAATATCCCCTCTCCTTTTTTTTCAATAGACTCTGGCACTCCAAGACAGATACTTCAGCAGTTTCCTCCTCATTGCATATTCACCTTGCTAGTTCCTCACAGCAAGGAAAAAATCTGCGGCAATGTCATCTTCCCTCCTTGCTGAAAATGGTTATAGGCACTAAGCCAAAGTTTTCAGAAAGAGGCAGTATTTCAGAGAGAAGCAATACATTTTGAATTTTGGGGCGTTTAATATGAGGCATCTCCAACCTATCCCTTTTAGTTGCTCGATACCTGCAGATCTCATGGCTTCAAATGGAAAATGACTCAGATTGTATGGAGGATGCTTTGAGCATTTCAGCTCACTGCAGGTGAAAAACAAATGATGTGGTTTATGAACTTCACTGTGCTTCTTCGGGGTCATGAGATAAAATGGTTTGAAGAGAGCCACAAAGCTGGGATCCAGCAGATGCCTGCCCCTGACAGTAACTCAAAATCTGGACTCCAAAATGGGTCCTAGAGAATGCAGTGAGGGTAGGCCACGAATTTTGTAGTGTAGTGAATGTCACAAAAGCTACTGAGCTCTTTGGAGATGGATGTGATGAGCCCATCAAAATTCACTGAAAGTGGGAAACATTACCCATGCAAGATCAGCCAAGGGAAAAGGCTTCTTTTGTTGCTCCCTTCTGATGTCAGTCACTTTACCAAGACACCCTGGATTCAAACTTGTGACTCAGAAACCAAAGATGCCATGTCCCATAACTAGTCCCATATATGCTCCACCTTTATCACCCTATATCAGATGTGATTCTTTGTTTCATTGTGATATTAACAATAACAGTATCATTGTTCAAGTGCACATGTCATATCAAGAGATTAAAAAAGCTATACAGATATTTATGGTACATAAAGACAATAAATATTTTTGGAACAGATTTTTAGCATTCAATGGGCTTTTGCACATCCTTTTTCCTTAGACCACCTGAAAAAGAAAATTGCTAATAACCTAGTACCCAAAATGATTTTTTTTTAAGACAAGCTAACATTTAATTAAAGTAACCTTGTATCTGCCTCCAACCCTCTTTGAAGGAATGACCCCAGACTGAACATCAGCTCCAGTAATAATCCTAGTGAAATCACTAGGATGCCAGCAGACAAGAGGGGG